CCCTTTAAATATACTTAAAAGTCTTGATAATCTTTCTGGCTAATGTATCTTACACTTTATTCTTTATAAAATTCTATAATAGAAATTATAAACTATAGTAGAAATTATAAACTATATTGTATACTAATATTATAACCTATAGTAAAATGTTTAAGTAATTTGAAAAGTTAAATATTAAATGAATGTTAATGGCTTTTTCAAGTTTATAGTAAAGTAAAAATGTTTACAGGTAAAAATTGCAGGATCTAAAAATATTGGTCCTGAGGATAAGTCCACACTCTACCACCCAAGAATCCCAGGCTAAGGACAACTTGACCGACTCACTTAGAAGGCTGAGTGATCTTGTGTGACACAAACACTGTCCACTGGGACAGATGTCCACACTGGTTCACCACAGAGCCTGACCATTACCAAAGGCTACTGCTCAGCGACCACTGCGTCTGTGTCACACTGCTCATCAGTGTTGGGTCTGCTTGGTCACGAGGTCTAGCACCACCTGAGCACTGTGGAGTATGATGTGTTTGTTAGGGTTGGATCTTAAATGTTCCGAGAGCTCATGCACTGAAGGTCTGGTCCTGGCCAATGGCACTGTGTAAGGTGGTGGACACCTTAGGAGATGGGGTCGAGTTGCAGAATGAGGTCATTTGGGGTGTGTCCTTGAGAGGTATATCAAGACCCCACCCTGTCTCCTTCCTGGTTTTCATGAAATGAGCATCTCTGCCCACCATATGCTCCCCACCACCACCTGTTCATTGCAGGCCTTGAGTGATGGACCCAAGGAATCATGCACTGAACCTCTGAAACCATGAGCCAAAATGGGTCTTCCTCCTCTGAAGGTGAGGTGCTCAGGTATCTGTCGGAGTGGTGGATGGCTGACCAACACAGTACCACTGAGGCTACTCTCCATGACTTCAGGCCTACCCTCTCCCATGGCATCAGCCCCACCCACCTCCTCCCAGGCTCCTGAAGCAAGACCAGCAGGAAGCTGTGATGACCAGTGGCTCTAATAACAAACACTGGTAGTACCAGCATTAAATATCAGAAACATGTGTATAACACCTTATCAAAAGTTTTTATGCCTTTCATTTTGTTTGGTAGGACCCAAACTTCTATGAAAGAATGAATGGGAGAGAAAAGAAACAATCAGCTACATCTCTTATAGGATAAGCAAACCTAGGCAAACTGCAGGAGCCTCACTCAAATGTTTCCTTCACAAATATCTGGGCCAACAACAGCTGTAGCTACTACCAAGCAGCTGTGACCAAACCAACTGTTGCTCCTGGACTCCAAATTCAACAGATGTGCACACGGAAACACTTCATCCAGACAAGGATACTGCTCAACACGATCTGGGAGAAGCAAGTCAGGAATGATTATCTGTACCTGACAACCATGGCTCACAGGCATGAATGTCCAGGTACTGGCTGGAGGACTCTACAGAGACTTCATGGGGCATTTTCCGATTCTAGAATTTAATCTTGCAAAAGCACCACGCTCTAGCAAAACAGAAACAAGACACAGACCACAGGTGCAGGACATCAACATCAAGTGCTTCTGAGGAGATTTCATCAGTGGTGGGAACTGGACTTGGAGCCAAGAGCCGCCCTGCTGTGCTGGGGACCCTGGGAACCAGGGGGACCCAGGCCTGGCTCCAGGATGTTGGGGCATCGCTGCTGTTAGATGTGAGGGACCTTGAGTCCTGCTCTCTCCATCTGGTTCCTAACCACAGACTCTGCCCCAGGGGCACAATTCAGTTTAAATGGGCACCCTGGGGCACACTCTCCCATCCCCACCACTAATGTCTCCCTATAGAGAAGGCTCAGAAAGAGCTTGACTTGGTGTCTCAGCCCAGAGCTGCTGTGCAGAATGGAAACCCAAGCCTTGGATCTCCAGACCCTGTGCTCTTTGTACCACACCAGCCTTTACTTGAGTCAGGGACTGCAAAGTGGCCACAGGCTACGTGTATCCAACTAGACAAAAACTGTGACAGCTGGGCATGGTAACACAGGCCTGTAGTTTGGCACTCGGGAGGCCGAGGCAGGAGGATTCCCATGAGTTCAAGCCCAGCCTGGACTCACAGCGAGACCCTGTCTCCAAACATGACCAGGTTTTAGCCTTGACTGGTACGAGCGATGCTTGGGAGGCCCATCCCGACGTATGATCAGTCTTATTCCCCGATCAGGCAGGCTACACCCAAATTCACGAAATGATCAACTATGTGGTAACAGGACTCCTATAAACACTTCTCAGCAAATTCACTGGCCGTGAATTTGGGCTGCATGTAAATAATTATAAAGCCAAGCATTCCTGAGAGCTCTTCCTCCTCATTCTTTGGCTCTTCCACGAGGACCTCCATCCCCTGTGCAGTCGTACGTCCTGTTGTGCCCCGTGGTGTTCTAGTCCACCCTGCTGGACGCAGGACCCTCTCCCACTGGCTGGCGGGGCGTGAGCGGGTCGCTTTGCCTCCTGGGCCTCGGCTGCCTCACCTGTGAATGGAGGTCTCCACCATGGGATTTTCCACTCCCTTCGATCAACCCTTCAAGGATTCACAATATGTTTCCAGGACTTCAAAAGAAGTTCCTCTTGGAGTTAAAAAAAAAAAAAATCAAAGTTCAAGTACATTAAAATATTCAAAACCTTAACAGAAAAAGCCTATTGGTTTCCATACTGAGCCACCCCAAGACACCTTCAGACACTCCTCTGGTCAAGGGGAGTCCAGCCAGCCCTGGGACAGCGTCTGGCCTCGAGCAGCTTCTTTCCCGCCCTCTGGACTGAGGAGCATGGTGTTTTAGTGACAGGGTGAGGGCATTTACTGCGGTCCACGCACCACAACTGCTGACCTGAGAACACGCGCCCTAGAGCAAGCCCTGTGCAGCCTCGCCTGAGCCCAGTGCTGCCCACATGTGGGTTCCAGGCACACGAGGCCACACGTCCCCTTCCTTGCCTGCACCAGCCAGCGAACTCCAGCTCCAGCACCTGACCAACAGAGTCTGACATCAGGCTGTGATGATGCCATCCCCAGGTCAGCGAGCGTCTCTCCTCACACTGAGCTGTGTTCTCCCCACAGCTCCTGTGTGGGCAGCACCCTTCCCTAAGCTAGAGACAAGCTTGTGGTGTAGACCAAATGTTCACCTCCCTGAATGTGAGGAAAAACTTGGGAAAGGGGAACACGGGGAGGACGGGTCATGAGCTCTTCGCCCAAGGTACAAGGCCATTGGAAGGGACACAGGATGGTCGTCCAGAGAGGAAACCCATGCTCAGTCGAGGCCAGCAGTTCTTAAAGGAACCTCGGAATGAACCTGCCCGCCAACCTGGGCTTCATAGCCAGTTGTCCTCTCTCCAGGGTGCACAACCAAAGCCAAGCACACAACCAAGTCTTCAGGAAAGAAAATTCCCCAACATTTAGACTTGTAGGAAGGAAAAAAGCAAAACAGAATCACCATTGTCCCAAAGCAAGGCATTTTCCAGCGCCGGGAGGCTGGCTAGCATCCCTCACCAAATCCCGGGCCAGCTGAGTCCTAGGAACAAGAAAGGCCCCATCCAGGCCACGGAGCTGATGACAACTCTGCTATGGTCAGAGTGCTTCTGAAGGCACGGGGAACACCAGCTTCTTCCTGAGTGTGAAGGCAGGCTGGGGCATCTGCTTCTTCCTCCCGCTGGCGTCTGCCTGCTGGCTCACATCCTGGTTGACGGCCGTGAGGATGGACAGGATGTCCTGTCGCCTGCAGGCAGAAACCACACCAGCTCTTACGAAGAGCCAGAGCAGGCAGACAACGATCACCTGAGTACCACCCTCTCTCTTCTTGGCTGAAGAGGGCAAAAGGCTCCACATGACACAATCCTGCACTTTAACACTTAAAATGCAAACAAGAAGTTTTACCCAGGACGTACACACCGTCACAGCAGACAGTGGAGCGTGATCGACACCCTAGGAGCTCAGGGGAGAGGGCGCTGCTGGCCCAGAGGGAGAGAGAAGCCTGTGGAACAGACGGCCCTGAACCCGGGTTGGCAGGACAGGTCGCCTTTTCCAGAACATTTTGGAGGTGGCGAGACAGATGTAGGATCTGGGACAGAACTCGGTTTTGAATTGCAGCTCTAGTGCTCGGTAGTTGTGTGTCTCAGACAGGTTCCGCACTTCTCTGTGCTCATTCCATCAGCCTCACAATGGGGACCACGACTGTCCCTGTCCAGGGACAGCCAAAACCTGGAACACTGGCCAGTGTCCCGCCGACTGCCGCCTCCACATTGACTGTACTGCTCCTCCTTGCCCTCACTGTCTCCACCAGGGTCTTTTGGGTGGGGGTGCAGGCCTGCCTGGCCCTCGACCCCGCTTCCTGCTTGGACCTAGCTGTTTCTAGATCTTCCTGTGGGAGATTCTTTCCCATCATGTAGTCTCAGCTGAAATATTACCTCCCGCCAAGGGGCCTTTTCAGGGCACCTCTGCCTCACCCTATTTCGCTGTTCCATTTTCCTTTGTTCATAGCAGGTCTCAGTCCTGAAATCACTTATTACTTTATACTCACTGGCTTATGTTTTCATTATCTGTCTTCCCCTCAGTGACTGTTGCCTCATGGAGATATTCTGTCTGTTGCTCACATCTACTCGGTACCCAGCACAGTAAGCACACGACAGGCCCTCAGTAAGTGCTGCCCTTCCTTGGAGCCAGAGACTGGCCTCTGATGACCCTGGCAAGGTTGGAGGGCTGGCGAGGAAAAGTGAGAAGCCAATTTATCTCAAGGCTCCAGTCCTGAATTCCCAGAGAGCTCCATGGCCACGCCTGGAAATGGGGACTGAGGAGTCGGAGCACCTGGTGAGGACCAGGAAGGTGAATTCAGAAAGATGCACACTGAACGTTAGGTCCCAGGGCAGCTCAGAGGTTAAATGTTGGGAAAGCCAGGCCTTCGCTAGTCCAGCGAATACCGACCAAGCTCAACACTGTACAGGACGCTCGGGTCCCGGAAGTGTGGGCCTGAGTGAAGCAGGGTCTCAGAGATGCATAGACCAGAGGTGGCAATCTGGGGGACACTTTCATGGAGGTGCCCAGAGTTTCTAGGGACAGTGAAGCTGCCAAGGGAAGAGAGAACAGAGGAGAGAGAGACCAGAAAGGGGGTTGCAAGGAAGAACCGTGGGAAGGCCACTCACTCCTAGGCTCAGACAAGCAGCACATGGTGGGCACAGAGGGAAGGTGTTGGAGCAATGGCAAAGACAGCACACAGACACTCGGTGAACACAACTGACCGGTAAATTACTAAAGGAGAAGAAATCCAAAATCCCCTGCCTCTGTTCACAGTGTTCCCTCTGCCCAGCATGCCTTCTTCCTGGACTCTGCTAACATTTATGTGTTATCTCTGGAAGCATCTTCTGATCCTCCAAATCAGGGTTCCCATGACACCCAGGCCTCATAATGTGCATTTATCACCTGGACGATTTGTCTGTCTAAACCACTAGATCATGAGAAACTCGAGGGCAAGGACTATGTCTTTATTTTTAAATTCTGTATCTTCCTTTCCAGGTCCATCCTGGTGCTCAACAGAAGTTTGTTGGATCCATGCGTGGATGGGTGGATGCATGGATGGATGGATGGACAAACAGGCAGGTAGGTGAATGAATAGATGAGCAGGTGTGTGAATGGATGGATGGATTGATGAATGGGTAGGTGGGTGGACAGATAAAGAGGTAGGTAGGTAGATGGGTGGGTGGGTGGATGGATGGATACACAGATGGGTAAATGATGGACGAATGGATGGGTGGATGGATAGATAGGTGGATGGACAAGCCAATGAATGAACTACTAAAAACTCTCACCTTGGGACCAGGTTCTTCAGATGATTGCACAGAGACTGAATAAACCAGCTACCTTTCTCCTTGTGCCGAAAGGACACATAGCCAGGGACAGTGGCCAGACCGAGCAGGAAATCTGCCTCCTCTGGAATACTACCCTGAAGGGAAGGGGACACACACTCAGGGTTCAGAGCATCTGCTTCAATGAGCACAGAAGGGTGCATCGCTTCACCTTGACAGGCCTGGATGAAAAAGAGCTTTGGTTTGTGAGCCAGTGCCTGGCACTGCTGGGCTGTGAAGTGCGATGTGATCTCCCGCAGGGGGATGAGAGCCTTGTCTGAGGAGTAGACGGCCCCAAGCTTTCCATGGGTCAGAATGCAGAACACAAAGCAGTCCCCATCAGCATGGCCCGGGTGACTCCTTTGCTCCCTCAGAATCTTCTCCATGCCTTCTCTGGTCACGTCATGGTGCATGTGCACAGTGAAGCCAAGCCACTGGAACACACGCCTCAGGTACTCTGAAGGGAACGAGACAGTGGGACGTGGACATGAAAGGAAACAGTAAATGAAGGCAGGAATCAATGCTAATGGCCATAAAAACTGCACTGCAAGAATCCTAAAGCTATGAACTTTGTACTTTCGTAATAAAATCATACAATTAAGTTGCCTTATAATGCCAAAGTGGCATCACAACAGTCTTAAGAGTCAGCAGCCACCAGTTTTAGCTCATTTCACGGACAAGAAAGCCAAGGCCCTATGACTTCCCAGGGCCACAATAACAGAAGGGGTGGAACAAGAGCTCAGGCCTTGTTGTCTGGGGTACCCAGCATGCCCTCTCCAGCTCAGCGTTGTGAACAGCGAGAGGCTCTGGTCACTCGGGAGACTTGTGTCTCCTCAAGGACACACGAGAGGCCCCGGAACATTTATGACATCACATTCACATGTGTGTGGAAGACAAAGTTACAGAAAGGAAACGTGAAAATGAAAGAGGGCCTTCAGACCCCCGCTGGCCTGTGATAGGCCATTCCAGACTCACCAGCATCCATGTGCGTCCCTGTCCTCTCGTTCAGGCCCTCAAAGCTGTGGTTGTTGATGATGACACAGTGCCCTCTGTGCTTCCGGTCCATCCTGTACACATCCACCTCCTTGACAGGGGAGAGACAGGACCCTCAGTAGGGACCACTACTTAGGGAAGTAGAAGTTTCTAACCAGCTACCCCAGTGGGTCTACTCTAAGAAAAGCTGTCCCTGGCCCTCTCTGTACGGGGATTGAACCCAGGGCCTCCTAGACAGCTGCTGCCACTGAATTACAGCCCAGCCCTTTTAAATTTTTATTTTGAAGCAGGGTCTCACGAAATTGCTAGGCTGGTCTCAAACTTGTGATCCCTGCCTCAGCCTCACAAGTAGCTGGATCACAGGCGCGCACCACCACATGGGGTACATCTCTTAGCGCCCATTTTAAACCACAGTGTTCCACTGTTGTTTGTTCTTAGAGACAGGGTCTTGCCGAGTTACCCAGGCTGGGCTTTAACTTGTGATCCTCTAGCCTCAGCTTTCCAAGTAGCTAGGATTATACTTTAGTCTAAACTCCTCAGGGCTGGGGGTGTAGCTCAGTGATAACGCACATACTTAGCATGTATTAGGCCCAAGGTTAGATCCCCAGTGCCAAAAAGAAGAAAAAAATAAGTAAACCACAAATCACTGGAAATATCCATGCCATGCAATTTCTAAAGTCACAGTGCTTCTGAGCACTCTGCACTCAGTTTTGTTGCTGACCTGTAATCTGAATTCAGTGTCCAAGATTCAAGTCCTAGTGAGGCAGACATGAGACCCACCCTCCCCTTTTCCCAAAGGCCATGATCCCACCACACTCTCCTGTCTTAGCTGCCCAATCCTGCCACCTCTGACAAGCCCCTGGAGGACTGTGGGGAGATGCCCGGGCCCCCAGTCCCCAAACCCCAAAGGGCCAGGGGCAGCAGGGCAGTCCCCTGGACACTCCTGGAAGCCACGCAATCAAGACATTAGCCCTGGTCGGGGATTTGGCTCAGTGGTTCCAGCGCCTGCCTTGCAAGCACAAGGACCGGAGTTCAATCCCTGGTGCCAAAACAAACAAAAAGATTTTAGCCTTGCCATGTTCCTGGGAGTAGAACTGTCCATCAAACTGAGTATCCCCCAACATCGTGTTCTGAGGAGCTGTCGCCATGGCCATGGCTGAAGAGTTTCAGGGAACACTGGCCTGGGCCACAGCAGGCTTCAACATGGGCTCATCCCATGTGATCACTCACTCTGCAGCCTCCAGGTGGCCCCAGCCCCATCCCTACTCCCAGTCTCCCAACAAGCCCACCTGCTGACCATCCTGCTCTGCCTCACCCTCCTGAGGTCAGGCCACCCCTGGGCTTCAGGACAGGTCCAAGAAGCTGCACTGCAAAGGTCCTAGCACCTACTCGTGACCCTTACTTGCCTCAGTGGAGTGGGCTGAGAGAGCTTCCCTAAAAGGAGCTTGCAACACGGGGCACAAAGAGTTCTGCGGACAGAGAGACTAGGGACTGAGGCAAAGGCGCTTGGCCGAGGTGGCCAGAGGCCAGGCGAGGCGTTGCTATGGTTTGGTGGGGGCTGTGGCCAAGACGCAGAGCAGGGCAGTGAGCACCAGGGAGGCTAGAAGGGCTCTGAGCCAGGGGCTATGAGCCTCAGCTGCCAAGGGAGCGATGGAGAGCAGCTGCAACAAGAAAAGCAGAAATGCCAGGGGCCAAAACACCCTGCCTTCAACTCGAAGAGCTGTAACGCAAAGAGCTGTAACACCAAGAGCCAAGAGTCTCTGGCACCAAGGCAAGGGAGCCACTGACACTCAAAACCCAGAACAGTTACAGGAGCAGCACTTGGCCAATTGAGGACTTCTACCTGAACCGAGAAAATAACCCTGGGCTGCTCTGTGACAACAGAGCCGAGGTCACAGGAGAAGAATCACTTGCAGTAAAGTCAGCCATGACCTTCCTTCCAGGACCCCACTCCCAACGCCAGAGGCCAAGTCCTCAAGATCCTGGCCCTGGTTTGGGATTAACAGACTGATTCCAAGGTAGAGTTCCAGGTCCTCAGTAAAAGACAGAGTCAAGGGCCGGAGGTTTAGCTCAGTGGTTCTGCCACCTGCCTCGCAAGCGCAAGGACCCAAGTTCAATCCCCAGTACCAAAAAAAAAAAAGAGCTGTCTTACATTGGGCCTGGGATTTAGCTCAGTGGTTTCACTGCCTGCTGCGCAAGCGCAAGGACCTGAGTTCGATCCCTGGTACCAAAAAAAAAAAAAAAAAGACAGAGTCAACCTATTTTTATTGGAGAATCTCAATTTCCAGAGTTAAAAAGCAAAATATGTATGTTTGAAATTGGCAAAGCCAGGGTATACACATAAGCATCTTCCCGTTCAGATTAAAAATGGGAAAAAAGGGCTGGGGATTTGGCTCAGTGGTTCCGCCACCTGCCTTGCAACCGCAAGGTCCCGAGTTCGATCCCCCAGTACCAAAAAAAAAGGGGGGGGAGATTAAACAAAGATTTACCAAGCCACAAAAACATCAAATGATTTCTATGATACATCAAAGGATGTATACATTTAGATGGTAGGATTCTGGAGTGATCTGACTCCTCTGGAAACCGAGACATCCCTTTTGTAACTTTTTTTCTGAATAGAAATATACAGGAAAAAAAAAAAGAAATATACAGAAAGCACAGTGGAAATTTTTAACTATGTGGAATCATTTTATGGCGATTGTAAATAGCATCCAATTACAAATTAGCTAGCTGTCTTCAGTAGACCCAATGTGCAACTAAAATGATCTGAAAATATGGTACATCTTTGAGCCAAGTGGAGATGAAGTGGCTTTGTTGATGAAAAAGAAACTTTCCTTCTCCAGAAACAGCCCAAAGGGTATGAAAGCTTGAAAGAAACATAGCAATAGGATTGCCTTCACAGCCAAAGGTCACATGCTTCTGATTGCTGCAGAGTGAGGTGGGAAGATCAGAGAAAATCACAGAGAAGAGCCAGGCACAAGCCAACAGCTCTGATCCCTCCAAGTTGTGGCTAGACCTTAGACATCAAGCAAGTGTTCCCACCTCACTGCAGACACGGGGTGGCGCATCATTTGTGGCCCTGTAACCTGGAAAGAAGGGCACTCACAACCCTCAAATATCTTTCCCTGGGCACTTATATTGCCTCACTAATGATTTTCTGATTTACATCTTATTCTGGAGGATTGATTTTCTCCTGAGGCACTCCTGGGACATAAACTCAGCCACTGTGTCCTTTGAGATGGGAGATGCTGATGTCCAAATGTCACTTTTTCCTTTGATTGGAAACTACACTGCTAGGGAAGAGTAGGCTGGGGAATTAAGATCGTGCAGATTAGCTGTACAAGAAAAAGACAGGTCATAAGTCCTAACAGCATGACTGGGTCAAAAGTCCAAACCAAGTAGGTTGTTAAACAAGGAATGTCTATAGAGTGCAAAATTACAAGTGTGGAGGGGACACTAGAGTTGGAAACGCAGTGCTTTGCAGCCAGCATACTAAATTCTAGACCACAGATGAATCCCCAATGGATGCATAGTCACCAGTGGATACTCAATCTAGGGAAAGTTGTCATGCAGAGTAAATAGTCACAAGGTTTGAAACTGTCTCCCAGCACCAGCTTATTAATTGCATAGAAAAAAGCAGATTCAACCAACCAACATGGAAAAATATTCAAAAAAGAAATTGCAATTGTACTCAATGTGGGCACTTTTCTTGTCATTCTTTTCTTTTCCTTTTGCGCAAGGGATCGAACTCAGGACCTTGCACTTGGAAGGCAGGCACAGTGCCACTGAGCTAAATCCCCGGCCCCTCTTGTCCTTATTTTCTTTTTGGGTGGGGGTACCAGGGATCGAACTCAGGACCTTGCCCTTTTGAGACAGGCGCCGGAACCACTGAGCTAAATCCCCGGCCCATGTCATTATTTTCTAATACAACATAACATTTATGTAGCATTTACACTGAGGTGTTAGGTATGATAAGTAATCTAGAGGTGACCTGAAGTATGTGGGAAATGCACATGGGTTATCTGCAAACACTACCCCATTTTACGTAGGGGACTTCAGCACCTGCAGATTTGGGTAGCTTCGGGGGGTCCTGGAACAAATACTCCATGGCCAACTGTGGACAAATGAACTCCCATGAGGAAATCAGACATCTCAACTAAACAACCAACACCAGCACCACCAGCGGGGGCCAGGGCTTTCGTGTTCCTCTAGATGCAGCACCCAGAAAAAGGCTCCAGGTCACTCATGGGACCAAACATGTACATTGAATCTAATTGAGGGGAAACAGACATCAAAAATGAGGAAAATTCTGTTTTAAATGAAAGGTGGAAAGAGTGACTACATTCTTCACAGGTCTCCAGTTCATAAGAGAATGGTAGCAAACTCCACCTCCTCAAAGTCAGCTTTCAATAAATTCTACTTCTTTTTTACCCCAAAAGAGAAGAAGAGAGAAGGAAAAGTTGTGGAAATATTCAAGATTAAAGAAGTCTGAAAAACAATTTTTTAAAAACCCAGAATGATTAAAGGAAACTAAAGGGAAAGGATGACTAAATACAATAGCGTGTTGTATTATATTTGACCCTAGAATGAGTTGTGTATAAGAGGTGGAAAACTAAAAGGACATTACTTGGTCAACAGACAACCCTGGACCCTCAATTTGATTAAGTGTTACATTAATTAACTTCTCAGCATTGATGACTGCCTGTTCCACAAAAGGATGTCCTTGTCCTTAGGAAATACAAAACGATGTCTGTAGGGATAAAGGACCCTGATATAGGCCACTAACTTCTTAAAAGTTCAGAAATAAGGGCCGGGGATTTAGCTCAGTGGTTCCACCGCCTGCTGCCTCACAAGCACAAGATCCTGAGATCGATTCCCGGTACCAAAAAAAAAAAAAAGTTCAGAAATAAATGTGTGAGTGTGTGTACATGTGTGTGTGGCCGTGTGTATGTAGAAAGAGCGAGAGAGAAAAGAGACAGATCACAAAACAGCGTGAAACATCAATAGAATTTAGGTGAATGGTGTAAACAGCATATTAAGGGTTCTTTGAATTATTCACATTCTTTCAAGTTTTCTATAAGGTTGAAATTATTTCCAAGTTTAATATTCTAACTGTAAAAACATGAAATCATGAAAATAGTAAAGAAACTATGACAGACTTTTTTAAGAATAAAAAAATGAAACCTCTACAAACAACCCAATGAGAAGATGGCCTGGGGACTTGAGTGGACGTTTCTCCAAAGCACACAAGGACCCCAGCACCACTGGTCACCAGGGAGACGCAGACCAAAGCCACATGAGACACTGCCCCATGCCCACGAGGATGGGTGTGCTTCAAACAGAGAACGCCATGGGCTGGTAAGGACGTGGACAAACCGAACCCTGTGCACGGTGGTGGAAATGCAAAATGGAGCCGCCACTGCAGAAAACTGCACCTCGGCAAGTTAACTCTCTCTGCTCTATGACTCGGCACCTCACTTCTGTGTGTTGGCCCAGAAGAATCAAAAGCGGAGTCTCACAGAGATATCTTAGCCACGTTCATAGCAGCATTACTCACAAAAGCTGGAACAAGATGAACAAGGCATGGCAGGTGCCCCAATGGCATATTCCCCAGCCTTAAAGGGAGGGAAGTTCTGAAATGTGCTACAACCTGGAAAAGCCTTGAAGATTTCGTGCCAAGTGAAACAAGCCAGTCATAAGAGACCAAATCCGGGGCAGGGCGGCTCAGTGGGGAGCACAGGCCCAGCACACACAAAGCCGTGGCTTCAATTCCCAGCACTCCAAGAGGTCGTGATGCACTTTCATGCAGATCTAGAAGTCTGATCAGAGACCAAAGAGGAGGAGAGTGCTGGCTGCAGGGCAGCAGGGTGGGAGGTTATTGCTTAATGGGTACAAAGTTTCACTGAGGGAAAATGAAAAAGCTCTGGAGATGTTGGCAAATTTTATGTAATGTGTGCTTTATCACAACTAAATGGTTTAAATGCTTAAGATGCTAAATTGTATGTGTCGTGTGCATTTTGCCACAAAAAATTAAAGGTTAAAATGGTAAATTTTGCTATATGCATTTTATCACAATTTAAACAAAATTAAAACAAAAACTTTACAAGGTCAAGATCATTTCATTCAGATGTTGGCAAAATGCAGCCACCGCACTATGCTGGAGAGGAGCAGGTGTGAGGGACGAAGCTGCAACCCGGACCCACAGCCAGCGGGGACAGAGAGCTCCCCTCAGCCCCCCTTCCCTGGCCTGAACCCACCTTTACCTTCTGGGTGGACCAGCTGTGGGAGCCATGCACACTGTTAGGACTGCAGAGCTCTGACCATCGCCCGGCTGATCTCGAGCATCAGAGCCGCCCCGGGGAAATGGTCTCCCATCTCCCTCCCTCCCTCCTCTTCCTGTTTTGCAGATTGAGAGTGGAAGGCGGAGCAGTGGTTGGCCAGTGACCAGGGGACCAGTGAACCTACCGGTAAAGCCTGAACAAGCTGTTTAATGTCTGAATGGGAAAACACTTCTTCCTCTCCTTGATGCAGTGACTCCGTTTCCCTGTCTGTGGGAGGCATCGCTTCCTGGGCAGCTGGAAATAAAATCACAGACAGGAAAACAAAATCACCTTCTGGCTCGCAGCAATCCAAGACACCAATCTTCAAAAGGAGTCAGCAAAAGTACGCCCTCCCAGTACTGCTCCAGTGGTCTGCACACACCCAGGAGAAAGTGAGTTTATAAATGTCTCATTATATGCTGGTTTATGTTTTAGTTATGTTTAAAATGTTATTAATTCCTTAAAATCTGTACATACTTTACCAAGTACTATTTCAGAATTTAGTGTTTAATTAATATGCCAGGTAATAGTCCAAGTAAAGATCCCAAAAACATTACTTCAGAAATTATTATCAGAACTCAAACTATAATAGCAACACAAAAAAAGAAAGAAAGAAAAAGTAAACCCCTTCAAAAGTGGTAACTAAATTAGTATGTCATATCCATAAAGGACATTTCTTTGAAATCACTAATAAGAATGTGCTGACTGTATCTGAACTGTGTTCAGGAAAAATGTCAGCTATAGTAGGTGGGAAAAAAAGAAAGTTGTATTGATTAGCATGGCTTTCGTTAAATATATATTATAGCTGGGAGAGGCGGCACACACCTGTGATCCCAGCACTTGGGAGGCTGAAGAGGATCTCATGAGTTTGAGGCCAGTCTGGGCTACACAATGAGTTCAGGGCCAGACTGAACCACACAGTGAGACCCTGTCGCAAATAAATAAATAATAAATAAATACAAACGCACACGTGTGGGCACACACACACACACAATTGTTCATAGGAGGAAATCTACAAGAGCACGTTCTGGTGGTCATCTCAGGAAAATGGGTTGGTAATGGAGGAAGGGAGCTTTTACCTTCTTCATTCTGTGTTATTCTCATTATTTGAATTTTTATTTAATTTCATTGTAATTAGATGTATTATCTTAATAGTAAATTTAAAACACTAAACCAAGCACTAAGGCTCAAGAAAAATCCAAAAGTTACCCAGGGCTGGGGGCGCAGCTCAGTGGTAGACACTTGCCCAGCATATGCAAGGCCCTGGGGTGGATCCCCAGAGCCACAACAGAATAAAGAAAGAAGAAGAATAAACAAGAAAGCCAGCCAGGGCTCCATAGTAAAGCTCATGCCCCAGTCAGACACAATGGACTTGGACTTTGGATCACACAGAAAAATCTGAACTCTGCACACCTTTCTTTGCAGTCCTTAACAGCCTTTTTCATCTCACACACAGAATTAGGCCCAAACATTTAATATCGGGATGCTGATATTAAAATATTAATAATGACTGGCATCCAAAAGAGATTCGCAGAGGTGGGCTTTTAAAAAAGCCAAAACTGGAACTCTTCTGCTACAGAGCTCAGGCCTGCAACTCACCCATGCACATGTAAACAGTAACTACATGGAAACCAGCGAGACTCCTCCAGTACCAGCCGAGCCCTGCCCTCCAGCTACTGCCTTACCAGAAAGGACTATGTGACTCAGATTAACAATCACCCTCCAAAGTTCACATGAGCATCCAAACAGCCTTCCAATATCAATTTCCCACTTTTATTTTCTGCTTGATAATATGATGTAAGAACTGTTCTTATTTGCCATAACTTTCACTTAAATTATACATTCATTTGTTATTTTAGTTATTGTTTGAGATTTACCAATGTAACCAGTATATTTTGCCCCTCAACTCACTTTGTCTTCAAGTTCTCAGGCTTCCTTTTAGCTAGTTTCACACTAAGCAAGGAATTTTGCAACCTGGATTGACTCACCAACTAAATTGTGGGTGAGGCCACAAAGCTTCCTGAATATATTCATGAGGTTTCACAATAGTGCTTATTTATTTAACAGCAAAAAAATGGACGCAGAAAAACAGAAATATTTAGCTTATTGATGTGGGGGAGGCAGTCAGGTGTGATTTCCACACTGCGCTTCTATCTATACAACATCCCAGAAACACTTCCTCTATAAGACAGACAAAAGAAGGAAAAGAAAGAATTCTCTGAGAGTAATTTCCAGAATATGAAAATCCCTGTGACCTCCCTCTCTAACCAGCATAGCCATGATGGCAGCATGTATCAAATGCCCCTTCATGCCAGAAACACATTTTATAGGAATTATCTTCTTCAGTCCTTGCCAGAACCTCTGAGGTGAGCACTATCATCATGCTCACTTTACAGATGGAAAGTGAGGCACAAACAGGCTAGGTGAAGGGCACCACACCACTCGTGAATAGAGTACTGGCCTCCTGGCTATGCAGAGCTCACTCTTAATCTTTTTTTGTTTGTTTATACTGGGAATCGAACTCAGGACCTTATGCTTCCCAGGCAGGCACACCATCGCTCCTTCTTAAAGTTATTTCATTCAAAACAATTTCCCATGTAAAAATCAGAAATGCCAGGCATGGTGGCACACACCTGTCATCCCAGCCCTCAAGAGGCTGAGACAGGAGGATGACTGTGAATTCAAGGCCAGCCTGAACTACATAGTGAGACCCTGGTTCAAAAAAGAAAGAAAAAGATTATAAAAATCAGAAGAACACATTCATCTAGAACTAACCTTGCCCCACTAGAACATTCACTCAAGAGAGCAGGACATTGGCTCTCTACCTGCCCCATCTCTGACTGGCAAACAACACCTGATCAAGTATGCAGCCAGCAAATATGTCTTGAAGGGATAAAGGGGGTATTCCTGGCTTTCTTAAGAGAACATTATCAAAATGATGAGTAGACATCACATGAGTGGACATGACAAATTGCTTTAGGAATTCCCACAGTCTGGTGCACATGTGAGCTACTTACCTCTCTCTCTTTTGTAGTTCTCTATCTTTTTCACAAGGTTGGGCGCAACAGATTTGAAGACTTTCTCCAGTAACCTCAGATTGTCTTCATCTATTAAAGTTTGTTTCTCTAGACATGCCAGTAAACTTAGAGAAGTCTGCAAGAGAATCAAAACAGTCAGATCGACTTGCTGCCCAAGTAATTGTCACTAACCTGCAGCTGGCCTCAGGCAGCAGGTTCTGTGTGAGAAATAGTGTTGTGCCCTTGAGGGGTTCAACCTTTAGAGAAGAGGCATTACCAAGCAAGTCTCTGCCCATCTACATTAATGCCAGGTACCAACTCTATGCAATTCTATACCCCAGCCACACGGCTTATTAAAAATTAACCTCAAAACAACCCAATGAGCCAGATGCAGTGGTGTGTGCTAATAATCACAGACTCTAGGAGGCCAAGGTAGGAGGACCACAAGCTCAAGCTCAGCCTGGGCAACTTAGCAACTCAGTGAGACCTTTTCTCAAAGTAAAAATAAAAAATAAAAGTGGCTGAGGAGGTACCTCAGTATGAAAGGCCTGGGTTCAATCCTCAGTATTTCAAAGAAGAGGAGAAGGAGAAAGAAGAAAGAGGAAGAGAAAGAGGAGGAAAAACATGTTATACTCCGCATTTTAAAAGTGATAACTGAAGGGGCCAGGGATGTAGCTCAGAGGCACAGTGCCTGCCTGGCAATTCCAAGGCCCTGAGTTCGATCCCCAGTACAAATAATAATAATAACAACAACAACAACAACAACTGAGGCACAGAGAGGTTCAGTAATTTGCCCAGCATCACAAAGCTAATCAGTGCAGAGCTGGTGCCATCTGATGTCAAAGCCACTGCTTCTAACTCATGGCTCTATGTGATGTAACTGATTTAGAAACTGGCAAAATAGGGACACTAAAGAAATGAGGGGGAAAATGTTTTGAAATAATTTTATACTTGGCAATTTTTTAAAAATGTATGACATTTCCTGGGGGAGGTCACATATCAACTGCTATCATTTTAATGGAGGTAGAAAGGGGCATAATCTTTTCAATGACTAGGGGTTCTAAGTAGTGATTTAATCAGGACCCATTTGAGGAAGGGTCTTATTGCTTAAGACTAAGGTACTTCAAGAATCAGAATTCAAAAAAAAAAAAAAGAATCAGAATTCACAGAACAACTACACTTCGGGGTCTCTGGTATCACCCTACTGTATGATGGGTGACAGATGGCAGCAAGAGACAGTCACAGAGGGGGCACAGGCCAGTCAAGACCCCTGAGAAGGTTACAGTGGTGAGCTCAGGCTGGGAAGGACACAGAGCTCCTGGTATCTGTGGTGAGAAGCCAGGCTGGTCACATGTACCTTCTGAGGGGGTTATGTCTGAAAGTGCTAGCATCAAATCCAGTAGGCTGCTTGACCCTCTTCACTGCGTACTTACTGCATAGAGCTCAGTGGTCTGTTTGCTTTCTCCATCTGCCAGCATGATCAGGGATACACCTCAGCTTCAACAGCTGCCACATCCTTGGGTATATGGACAGAGAGGCCTCTAACACAAGGGTGGGGGAACAATGCCCAGGCTAAAAGAGTATGCAAAGAAAGCAATGACCTGGGTACCCAGGGGAGTCCAACTGCTAAGAGCCACTGCAATGAATGTAGCCCTAAGGCAGACACCACGCCATTGCTTGATCCTACCCATCAGGAAAGACAGGCAGGTCTCAGCATTCACACACACACACACACACACACACACACACACACACACACACAAAGTGAGTGCAAAAACAATATAGGTTCTAGTTGCGATACTATTCCTCCCTCATATCTGGTGGATTCCAATTCTACAGGTCTTGAAAAGAAGCCACTCATTCAAAACCAGAGGAATATTCTGAACTCTTTTCTTGTTTGGGATGGGGTTCTTTTCTTTGGTGCTTTGTCTTTTTCTTTTTTCTGATTTTTCTTGGGTGTTGTTGTTGCTGTTGCTTTTACCTGATTCTATTTTATTCTTTTCTCTCATCCTTCTCATGTTCCTTTCCTTTCTTTTTCAAATTTTACTTGTTTTGTTTTTCCCTTTTTCCACCTCCTCCATTTTATTACTATAATTATTATTTATTAATTTTTAGCTATTGAGTTGACTCTATGCTTTTATTGCTGAATTCTTTTCTATTTCTAAATAGTGGTATAGTTGTTGCATTTAATAGATTTTACTGTATGTCAATATTTTGTTTGTCTTTGTGTCTGTCTTATTATTTCAGATCTCTTTTCAATTGTTCAGGGTAGTGTATTTGTAGTTTTTATTGGTTCTTATGGTGTATTAATATTGAATTTGTCTTTGACTCTATTACTATTCCTGATTTCTTCACTATTGTCAATGATGGCATAGTTGTTGCTTTTAATTGGTTTTTACAGTGTACCAATATTTTGTTTGTCTTTGTTCATTTTCTCCTCTCTGAATGGTGATGGGAATCAAACCCCCAGTAGAAGGTTAGACATTAAAAGACCCTCACATTCAACCTACACTGAGTAGGTTGACAAGGGGTATAAACAACAAAACATAACTAAACACTAGGATACATCAAAGGGAGACATATTCTAACTAAGTAGTGACAAAGTTTTTCTACCTGAACTGATTTCAACGTACAGCACAAAAACAGTAGAAATATGAAAAAGCAAGGCAACAATATATCTCCAAAAACACTTAACTCCCCCAAAATTGACCTCACAGACACTAAAGTAGAGGAAGTTACGGATGAAGAATTCAAAAAACAAATGGTCAAAATGTTTGAAGAGATCAAAGAAATGCATAATTAAATTAGCATTATGTTTAGTGAGCTCATTAAAGAGATAAAGGATTTTACTAATAAAATGTTCAAGGAGCTTAAAGAAAAAAACAAACCATAAACTAATTGAGTTAAGATAATTCAAGAATAAGGAACAAGAAAAGGATGTCAACTCTTTTTTTCTCTTCCCTTTCTTCTCCTTCTTCTCCTTCTTCTCCTTCTTCTTCTTCTTCTTTTCCTTTTTTAGACAGGGTCTCGCTATGGAGCCCAGGCTGGCTCTGAACTCATGGCAATGCTCCTGCCTCAGCTTCCCAAGTACTGGGATTACAGGTGGGCACCACCATGCCTGGCCAGGATCTCAACTCTCACCACATCTGTTCAATACAGTGCTTGAAACTTTAGCCAGAGCAATCAGGAAAGAGAAATAAAAGGAATATGTATAGGAAAAGCAATACATAAAAGCCAATAGCATTCCTGTACATCAACAATGAACTCATTGAGAAAGAAATCAAGAAAATAATTTCATTCACAATACCTTCAAAAAATTAAATACCTAGAAATTAACCTAACCAAGGAAGTAAAAGACTTCTATCATGGGCCAGGTATTTAGCTCAGTAGTTCTCCTCACTGCCCTGCAAGCTCAAGGACCTGAGTTCAATCCCCGGTACCAAAAAAAATTTAAAAAGACTTCTATCAGGAAAACTATAGTGCTCTAAAAAAAAAAAAAATCAAAGAGGACATTAGAAAATGGAAAGGCATCCCCTATTTCTGGATAGGCAGAACCAATATTGTCCAAATGGCCATATGAACAAAAATGACACGTAGATTTAATCCAATCTAATTCAAAATATCATCATTCTTCACAGAACTAGAAAAAAAGTCCTATCATTTATATGGAACCAGAAGAGATGCAGAATAGCAAAATTAATCCTGAGCAACAAGAGCAAAGCAGGAGGCATCACAATCCCAGATTTCAAGTTATATTGCAAAGCCACAGAGATACAAAAACAGCACGGTACGGGCACAAAGACAGACATGAAGGTCAAGGGAAAAGAATAGAGATGCAGAAACAACCCCAGGCACATTCAGCCATCTGATCTTCAACAAAGAAACCAAAAACATACACTGGAGGAAAGACAGTCTCTTTAACAAATGGTGATGGGAAAACTGGTTATCCACATGCAGAAGATTGAATCTAGATCAGAATCTCTCACTGTGTACCAAAATCAAATCAAAATGGTTCAAAGACATATTTAAGAAAACACAAAATCTGCTGCAAGACTATATTAATTACTTTCTTGTTGCTGAGACACAATACTTGACACCTGTAATGTAAATGAGGAGAGATTTATTTTGGTTCATGGTTTGAATTCATGATCTGCTGGCTCCACAGCAGAAGCAACACAGTGGAAGGACGTACTGAAGGAAATTGGCTCAGGTTATGCCATCCAGGAAGCAGAGGGAGAAGGAAAGGAGAAAAACCCTTCCAGGTCATGCGTCCTGTAACATGCCTCTTTTTTGTTTGTTTGTTTTGTTTGTAACATGCCTCTTCCAACCAGGATCACTTCTTAACAGCAAGTCAGCTGTATTGCTCCCATGATCCAATCTTCTTCCAAAAGCTTCACTTTATAAGCACATGAAGCCTTTGGGAAACATCAGGATATAAGCCATAACAAAGCTAAAAGTCGTAAACTCTTGATGGCACAGCATCCCAATTACACAAGAAACAATACTGACAATCACAGATGGGATCATATCAAATTAAAAAGCTTCTGCATAGCAAAGCAGACAACCAACAGAATGAAGAGACAACCTACAGAAAGGGAGAAAATTGCCAACTACTCCTCAAAGGACTAATATCTAGTATATAAAAGAACGAAAAAGAATTAGACCTCCCCAAATAAAAGACCCAACCAAAAAGTGGGGAGCTGAGCTGGGGATTTAGCTCAGTGGTCCAGTGCCTGTCTTGCAAGCACAAGTTCCCGAGTTTGATCCCCAGTACCAAAAAAAAATGGGGAGCTGAAATGAATAGACACTTCTCAAATGAAGTACAAATGGCCAGTGATTACATTAAAAAGAGCTCAACATCTTTGTCCATTAGAGAAATGCAAATGAAAACAACACTGAGATTGTATCTTACTCCAGAAAGAATGGCTATCACCAAGAAATCAAATAATAACAAATGCTAGCAAGGCTGGAGGGAAAAGGGAACTCTTATTGTTAGTGGGAATGTAAACTAGTACAACCACTGTGGAAATCAGTATGGAGATTCCTCAAAAAACTAAACCTAGAAAATACTAAACCTTCTAGATACTGTATCTTCCCAAAAGATTTAAAGACACTGTATTACAGTGGTCCGTGAACACCCGTGTTTACAGCAGCCCAACTCATAATAGCTAAATCTTGGAAGTTGCCTACAGTCCCATCAACAGATGAATGGATAAAGAAAATATGATATATATACACCATGGAGTACTACCCAAACATACATAAAGAAGGATAACTTTGAGTCACTCATGGGAAAATGGATAGAACCATCATGCTAAACTAAATAAATCAGATACAGAAGGTTAAATATCACATGGTTTCTCTTATATGAGAAACCCAAAGTATAAATAATTTAGGAGCAAAATAAATGATAAACAATAAAAAACAGAGAGTAGAAACAGGGAGATCTGAGGACAGGGAGAGACAGGAGGGGTGGCAGAGGAAGGGGAAATAGGATCAAGAAACAATGCGTATATGTACCAATTCCCCACGATGAATACATTCATTGTGTATGGCAAATGTATAAAAAGGGGGAGAAGAAAAAACCTCAAATCTACTAGTATTATTTTAATATTGAATTACATATGGAGCTGGAAGGCACCACAGTCTTCAGTAACTAGGGCTCCTTGATGTATTAATCTGGTTATGGGAAAACTACGCTAGAGCCATAGGTAGGAGGGAACCGAAGAGCACCGGCCCCGCGCGCAAGCGCTCTCAGGCGCTGGCCACGGGAGCTGGGACACAAGGTTGGTGTCCGCGGAAGTCGCGGTGGACGCGTGCTCTCCGCGCCGCGTGAGGCTGCTTGGGCCCGGAGGGGACAGCCAGCCTCGTGAGGAGCGGGGCGCGGGCTGTGGGCCGAGGACTCCCAAGAGCAGCGCTCAAGCAGAGCGGCGGCATGCGCAGGTTTGTTTTCAGACAGAAGCCCTGGAAGGAGGTTGGGGTGGCAATGGATGAAAGAGAAAGTACTGACCAGAAGCTTAAAGGCCCTGTGGAGAGAGGACCAAGGCCCCAGGCGCTGGGAGATGCACAGCCGGGGGCGTGAGCGCCCCTCTGAGGTGAGTGGGGGACCTCGCCCTTAGGGGGCGAGGAAGCCAGGGCAAAGGCTACTTCCTTTGCTGCCACTTCCGGCCGCGCCGCTCATCCGCATCCGGTCCGAGCCTCGCCTCCGCTGCGCACGGGCTGCACGTGGCAGGGGATCCTCCCGTTGCCTCTCGCAACGGCTAGGCCCTCGCTGACCGGGGAGAGGCGTGCGGAAGACCACGGTGGACCGGAGAAGGAACGGAGCCGGCCGCGGAGGCTCCTGGGGCGTCAGCAAGAGACCCTTCCCAGAGTGATGCAGGCCCAGCGCTCTGGACCGCCTGGGCGCTGAGCTGGAGGTCAGCAGAGGAGGGGCAGAGGGCGACAGCCCGACACGGGACAGGGAAGGGTGAATCAGAATGTGCATGTCGAGGGAAGCAGGGGGACTCAAACAAGGCCCCCAGATACACAACCAGGAGATGGCCAAAGGTTCAAAGTCTCACCTGGTTGCTGCCCTCATCTACATAAGAAAGCGAGTATAGCTGGTTGTGGTGGCACACACCTGTACTCCCAGCACTCTGGGATGCTGAGGCAGGAGGGTCACCAGTTCAAGCCCAGGTTGGGGAAGTTACTGACATAGTGAGGCCCTGACTCAAAATAAAAAAGGACTAGAGTTACAGCTCAGCGCCAAGGAACAGGGTTCGATCCCTAGTACGAAAGAGAAAGTACATTTTCAAGGAATTTCAGACACAAGACTAAAAAGCCAAAGCAACGTGTGGGCCCCTCCTGTGGCCGTGCACCATTAGGAGAGAGGAGGGGGAAGAGGTTCCTCTGAGCCATAGACTGCTCTTCCTGAACCTCAAAACTGAAACTCAACTACTGCCTACCAGGAAGAACAAAAGGAAAAAGATCTGATTCCCAGAAGCAATGATGAAATACCTTGTAAAAAGTTTATTAAATGTTTAGTAAATGAGACACCACACACGCATATGAACAGTCACACACACAAGCACACATGTGCACACAATCACAATTTAAATGGGGCCCAGACATTAGGTTAAGAACACCCCTGGAGAGTGCTAGCAGGCAAAGGCTGAGAGCTCTTTCATTTTGCTTCCTCAACAGGAAGCGAGTGGATTTGGGAGAAGCTCCCTTCCGTCCAGCCATCCTGCTGGCAGCAAAGCTGGGAAGGACTTCCTGACCACTGTCCCAGCCTCAGGAAGTGTGTTAACAGCCACACTGCTTAAATGCGTAAAAAAGTCCAGAACACTTCAAGGCCGTGTTTGTTCCTGTGGGAATGTCATGAGAATTTAAGACCTTTCCCTTTGGGCTGAGGGATCTGGCCCACTTCCCACAGCTCTAGGAACCTTATTTCCCTGGTCAGTGTTTTGCATTTGCAATTGCAGATAATGCTCTCTCATTAATACTGGCAGGAAGGGGCTGGGGATTTAGCTCAATGGTTCTGCCACCCGCCTTGCAAGCGCAAGGTCCTGAGTTCAATCCCCGGTACCAAAAAAAAAAAAAAAAAAAAATACTGGCAGGAAGCTCCCCTGGGTTGGCAAAGAGGATACTTTGCACCCTCCACAAATCCTGGTCGGACTGCAGAGTCCAACCGAGTCACCTGTGTCATCTGTGCGTGCAGTTTGGCCATGGTTCTGACAGGTGGACTCAGACATCCTTGGAAATGAAGTGAGATTATTTGGAACCCAAGAAGGAAGTGCAGGTTTCCTAAACTGCCACATACAATGACTTTTGTTTTCCTGTTGGACTGAGAAAAGTACAAAACCAGTTGGTTGCTGGACCTTTGTTAACTGAAAACCTGATTTACCAGGGGAGAAATGTTTGGAATGCTCTGACCACAAAAGGATTCTGCAGCTACAGATGCCTTCAAAAGAGGTCTGGGACTGTGCCAGCAAAAGAGAAAGAACACATCCACTTTCCTCCATGGAGAGCTGGGCCTTGGTGTCCAGAGTATCTGGGACTCTGGTAGCAGACACCTTTCCCTCCCAGCCCTCAAAGACAAGACAGGAAGGGCTCCACTGTTTCTGAACACGAGCTCCGGAGAAGATGCCCTAGTGGGGAGAGAACCTTCAAACCACAAGAACCTTTTCCAAAACTGAGGGATTCTTTCTCTGTTTATAGTAAAATGCCGGAACACATGGCACGGTGCTGCTCAGAAACTACCCAAGACAAAGATCCCTGGGGTTTCTGTTCTCCAGCAACTCTTGGACCCTTCAGCCAAATACAGACATCTAACACACATGCATCTAACACACAGGTAGACATCTAACACATATACACATCTAACATACACATAGACATTTAACACACATACACAATCTAACACACACATATAGACATCTAAAAAACATAAATACTTATAGAACAAGGATTATGTATAGACTAAAACAAGGGAGAGTGTAGGATATGTGATCAAACTATATGATGAGTGATTAAAAAAACATAGGGCCAGGGATTTACCACAATGGCACTGCTCCTGCCTCCCAAGTGCAAGGCCCTGAGTTCGATCCCCGATACCCAAAAAACAAAAAACAACAAAAAATATAGTAAGAGACACTTGCCACTAACCCCTCTCAATATACTCCTCAAATTGAACACACTTATACCATCGTTCTTGCCACTTTCTGAAGCAGTTCTGGGAGTCTTCTTTCATGTCTATATGAACACTGCTACTGAAATGCCATAAATACAAAGCAGCCTCTTAAAAACATGATGGTGTGAGGGGATGAAAAAGAATTAAGATGTGTTGTGGGGGCCAGGGATTTAGCTCAGTGGTTTTGCTGCCTGCTGCGCAAGCAGAGTGACCCAAGTTCAATCCCCGGTACCAAAACCAAACAAAACGATGTGTACATGTACCAACTCCCTATGATGATTGTAATCATTATGTACTGCGAACATGAAGTAATAAAAATTGGAGACTTCCAGGAAGATGGTGGAATGGTGAACAGCAGAGAAATAGTCTCTCCAAGATTTGATGTCCCGATGCTGGAATATAGCAATGTGAAGAACAGAAAAAGGGAGATAGGTCCCCGGGCCCAGCAAGGATCTGAAGTGAGAATTGAACCCCATGGGGAGAGTAAAGAGAAAGAGCTCAATGCAAAAGGGAGAGGTGGCAAGCAGCATTTTCACCCCGAGCCCTAACTCATGGGAGTGGGGGAGTTGAACTTGCAGACACCTGGTGACTACTGGTGACCCTAGAGGCCTCTGCATAAAAACCCACCAGTGGAATGGAGCAGTGGACCTGGCAAACTGCTTGGTGAGTTATTCAGGTTCAGACATCACCCAGGAGAGGGGACTGCCCAGTAGCCATCTTGGAAAGAGGCCAACTGAGCTCGGAACTCAGAGCAGCTTTGGGCTGGCTCCATTTAGCAGCTCCCAGTATCAGGATAAGGCAGAGCTGAGTTCAGTCCAGGAGGAGGCACATGGAGTGTTGCAGGCTGAGCAAATCAGGTTCCAGGTCACAGCCAGAAACCAGCTTGAACTTCAGTGGAACTAAAGGTTCAGGTTTGCTGGGATTATCCACTACCCCACCATAAATCTATGGCTGGCTTGCTGGGATTAATCACGTATTTGGGCTGTCTGCCCAGTGTGTTTACCAGTGACAGCAGAGACATACCCTGAAGGGGACATTTTTTTCTTCTTTCTTCTTCTTTCTCCCCTTGATTATCTGTTCATATTTTTCTATTAGTATGAACATTGTTTCTAGTTTGTTGTTGTTGTTCTGTTCTTATTTTTATTTCTTCCTTTTCTCTTTTCCTCTTCTCTTCTTCACCATTTTCCCAAAGTTTGCACGATCTTCCTTTGTCCTCTAGCCTTGCTTCTAATCTCTTCCTCTTCTATTTCTATATTTTTCCCCCAGACGCCTTTTAAATTTTCTCCCCAAGGGTAAGCTTGCCATGCTGAGGGCATACTTACTGTATATAATTTTCTGCTTTGTTTTGGATTTTGTTATATAACCACAAATATAGTTGATGGAGTTAAAGGTGGCAAATTAATAGTTACCACAGTTTGTCACTTTCTAGGCTGTGTTTGATGCTACTGTTAATGCTGACTGTACTGTTTTAGCCAAGGAGACAGCTGTTCTAATCAGTTGTTATTCCTTGTATGCCAAGACTTAGATTGCCTAAGGATCATAAATAATACTATAGGCCAGTGCCAAAGAACCAGGGGCTAGGCCAATAGGCAGCAACTTCTTGTCCCCAATAAATTGAAGAGGTAGGATCTTGAAACAAACTCAAAACCCAAAAGCCAACTACACCTGGAAGACATCTCTGAGTAGTCATTTCCTAAAGGACTAAAGCAATAAAGCTACCTGCCTGAGGTAATAAAAATTTAAATTAAATAACATTACAGTGTGTCCTCAAGCACCTTATTCAGTAGATCTGGCACAGTGCAACTTCTGGTTCTCTCAAAAGTAAAAATGATCATGAAAGGGAAACATTTTTAATCAGTTCAGTACATTGAGGCAGCCACAACAGCACAACTAAAAACACTTAGGGAAGAGTACTTTCAGAGCTGCTTCAGAAAGGCAAAAACAGGGCTAGGTATTAGCTCGGTGGTTCTGCCAGCTGCTTTTAAAGCACAAGGTCCTGAGTTCAATCTCCGGCATCCAAAAACAAAAAAAACAGAAAAAGGCCAAAACAAAGAGATAGGTGTGTTTGAAGTGTGTGTGGGGGGGGGTATTTTAAGAAGGATTAATGACAGTGTATCTCTTACTATAATATTTTTTAAATTTAAGCATTCACTATATTTTTAATCACTCCTCATAGCATATTATGGCTGTATTCTCCAAAAATATAGAAACAGTATACTTCAACTCTAAAAACATGGGGAGAAAATGGGTATAATATGCAAACTAACTTTCCAGATATGAAGAATAATCATTCTGGTGATACGAGTGAGGATCAGTAATGATATTGTGAGGCTGTTGTAGGTGGAACATGAAATAAAACAAGGTTATACAACATTCTATTTCTGTCACTCCCTTTGAGGATTCTCAATGTGGAGAAAAGGAAATATAGCTGTAATACCGAAGGGATTAAGTAAAAAGTGTAAATTCAAATTGAAAATGGAAGTATTAACTCAAGGTATCATATATTAAAATATTTTCCATATTTCCTATCTCTGTCCAATCTAGGATCAATGCATTGGTCAAACCAGAGGCAAGGAGCATCCCCAGCACCTAGTTTGTGATCTTGAAATAAAATTTCTTATTAAAAGAAACCAGGGCTTTTTCTAGAAGGAATGGAATCTAGGATGGGACAAAAAGGCTTACAAAATGAACCTGAGAGTTTTTTCAGACAGCAAAGAAGTCTTCAAAGACTATCAGTGTCACATCAAAATGACTGAGGAATCAACTTGAAGACTCCCACTGGTTAAAAAAGGGAGCAGTTCATGATGGTGCATACTTGTAATTCCAGCATTCTTGGAGGCTAAAGCAGAAGGATTGCACGTTCAAGCCCAGCCTGGGCAATTTAGCAACTTAAAGACCCTGTCCCAAAGATTTAAAAAAGGGCTAGGGATGTAGCTCAGTGCAAAGGCCTTGGGCTCAACCCCTATTACCAGGAAAGAAAAAAAAAAAAGAGCAATTGAACTTTAATAAGGATAATAATTATAATGAATGAAACCCCTCAAGTGTATTTAAATTAATGTGTTTGGGCTAGGGATTTAGCTCAGTGGCACCACGCCTGCCTGGCAAGTGCAAGGTCCTGAGTTCGAGCCCTGGTTCCAAAAAAATAAAATAAATTAATATGTTCGACTTTATACATATATTTATAATTGCTCATCTTTGAAGAATGACAGGAAAACTATTATCTTGAAAACTGGGCAAGTAAAAGAAAAAAGAAAAACTCATATATATAAACCGTGTCACTGGGTAACCAACAGTAGATAAGGAGAAAACAAAGTGACAGAATTGTAATATTTCCATTTTGCAAGCCCCCATAGGTCAATCTGTAAAACTGTCAAAATTCAAGAACTCTAGGAAACAAAAAGAGAAATCCAGTGTTACAGCATAGAATCTGAAGTCTCAAATGAACTCACTTGCTTGTCACAAGTTTTTAGAGTCAAAAGAAAAACACTTTTGAGGCCTGGAGGGCAGGCCTGTTAACACCACAGGCATCTGTCTTGTTCGATCCTCATGTAAATCCCACAAGGGAGACTGTTATCGCCTGACACGGGCACCTGAGCCCCTTCAACACTGTCACAGGAGCTGGTGGTGAGCACACAACCCATTGGCCATGTTCACCACCTCCACCATTAGCATTTCCTTTGTAGCTGCAGCATGAATGTGGCCTTGCTAGCGCTTTCTGAGCAGTCTTCCCTCTACTCCCACAGTGAAAGGGGGAAGCAGTTCTTGTCCACAAGCAGACACAGGAGAAAGACTCAGAAACGTTTGCTTACCTGCCCACAACATAGGGTCGGTAGCAGAACCAGGACCAGAGTCCAGGTGCCCCTGACCCTTACGCTGAGGCCACTGCCCCTACAGAACATGACCCCCATGTCTCCTGACCACTGACCACTGTGAAGCCGTGCTTGCCCAGCCCCTCTGCCAGCCCACTCACCATCTGGGTTTTGGGAATGTGGTCCTGAAGAAGGAAGGTCATGTCCTTCAGCTTCTCTGAGTCGATGGCTTCTGACAGCTCGTAGAGCAGGTTTCTAAGACACACACCCAAAAGAACAGTGAAGCCCCCACACAGCAAGTCCAGGCTTCCATGACTGTTACTGTCTTTTGGAGGATGAACACTAGGAGTGGACAATCATGAACCTCACTTTACAGACTCAAAAACATAAACACTGAGCTTCTAGCACTGGGAAGACATAAAACAATCCCTGCATACCTTTCTCTCTCATGACCCAGTCTAGAAGCTCCCTCACAGCCCACGGCAAGGATCAGCCACCGCTGGCCATCACCCTCGCCCAGGAAAGGAAGGTGGCCCCTGCTACCTCTCCAGTCACCCTGTCCGTGCCCAGGAAAACAGTGTTTCCCCCACTCATCGGTGCCCTGCATGCCACAGGGCATTCCCCACAGGTCCAGTGCGAGGCCTGAGGACTCCTGGAATTCACCCTGGTGCCAGCGTGAACACCCAAGACACAAAATAACCCTCAACGTGGCTCTCTGGTGGGGACACAGGTCGAGAGGTGATTTCAAATGCTGTGGTCTTGGTGTGGCCCAGGAGAGCCCTGATGCCCACACTGTAACTCCTCAGGGAAATGCCTGTTAGATTTTACTTCTCTGCATTCCCACCCAAAACTATCAGAATATTAACTGGACAGGCGTGAGTGATGTCCCTCCCTTCCCCAGACACAGCCTTTTTCTCTTTACTTATTGGACTCTGAGTGTTTGTCAGACCTTCTTCAGACCCTCGAGACAGGAAGACACGTGGTGACTCCCGAGGAAGGAGTCATGACACAGAGACAGAGGGCTCGATTCAGGGAGGGCGAGCTGAACACAGGGAAGCCAGATCCAAGTGCAGTTTGGGGCTGGGGTCTCCTGACCCCCAACTGCTTGGTTCTCTGGCTGGTGAAACTGAGGAGCCTCCTGATTTAGAATCTCCTGGCTTTTCCTCCAAGGAGCAAGTTAAGGAAAAGACCTCAGTTCCGTCTTCCTTTCAAAGCAAAAGGACAGAATGCATGGTAGGTCAAAAAGACCCCTCCTCACCTGAACAGGGACAGCCTCCTTCGGGTGGGCAGCCACTGCTCCACACACTCCCTGGTGTATCCGAGGTGCCGCAGCAGTGAGTTCTGCCTGATGCTGTACAAGAGCTCGGCCAGGAAGAAGGCATTGTCCTCACTGAGCAGCTCCTCTTCCAGGAGGAGGTCAAACAGATCTGAGGCTGAGCTGGACCTCTCCAGCCTCTTCTCAAAGACCAGCCCCATGCAGAGGAATTTCATGCCCTCCACGTCCTGGGCCCCCAGGCTCAAGTTGATCCGCAGAAGCTTCTCCCGAAAGCTCATGCTGCTGTCTTCATCTGAACTGGAGCCCAGACTCCCACCTCGAGAGGCCATGGCCAAGCTGAGTTCAGGAGACAGGCTGGCTGGTGCTGGGGAATGATGATTCACAGCTTGCTGAGTCCTCACCCCCTCCTTCCGCCCTGGTTGTGGGATTCAGTTTCCTAGAAATGAATAAAAGTCACTATAACCCCACCACAAAATCCAACATCCCAGACCCCAACCTTTGCAAGTCACTTTCTAGGAGGTTTGTGGGGAGTTTTTGCTGGGACTCAGTTTGCCTGATTCTTCCAGTGGAAAGGCCAGGAGTGGAGAGGACACGGTGCCATATCTCTGACCCGGTTGGAGCTCTTACACCACAGATGTGTTTCCACCGAGTGGCAGAATAGCATGTGGGTCTCCTACACTATAAATTGTGGAAACAGCTTCAGAAGGAACAACTGAGCACGGTACCATGATGGACAGCTGCGCATCCTTAGCTTCAGGCTGTGAACCCAAACCGGGCAGGCCTTTATCTCACAAAGGGAAGCCACAACCTGGACCCCACCCAGCCCAAAGGATGGTTTTAGGTAAGACGCACGCAAGTCAGCCACGAATTTCATAAACCAATGTTCTGCCATTTATAAACTTCAGTATTCTCTGTCCTGGATTTCATCCTATGCAGAGAAGCAATGCACTGGAGAAGTTTTCACTACTCTTTCTATAAGGACAGAGGCCTATCTATATTTATCTAGGACGTGGCTGTTTAGAGAAATAGGAAGATACTTTCTTAAGGAAGGAACACAGTAAAAAAACTTAAAAGCAGTATAACCATAGGTAAGATAACTCAAGTCCTCTTCTGTGATCCCATCTGAGTCTCTCTAATTCTATGGAGATACGCGACTTTTGGTGTGAGAAGAGAGGAAGCAGCCACCACAGTGGGACCGGCAGTCAGGAGGGGAAGGTGGGTCACGTGCTCAGGAGTCCGAGACCGAGCCGAGCCACTGCCGCTGGCACAGAGAGACCCCTCTCAAAGGAGACAGAAAGACAGGAAGAGAGGGAAGGGAAGCAAAGCTGCCGTGTGGGATGCAGGCCGGCCCTGTCTCCCCTTGGGCTCTTGTCAACACCTTCCATCTTAGGCCTTAGGGTTTCCAGGAGATTCTGATTTCCAGCTTAAATAAATCCAAGCTTTGACAGCTGGCAACTTTTCTCTCTCTTGTCTTCTCTTTGTCCAGATGGGGTCTCACTGTGTGGACAGATTGCTGTCAAAGTCCTGAGCACATGGGATCCCCCACCTCAGCCTCCCAAGTGCTGTGAACAGGGGTACAAGGCTGTGTCAAGCCTTCCTGGATTTAGCTTTCATTTTCCTTGGCCCAGCAAAGAAACCCAGCAAAAGTCGTGCAGGCCAGACAGGACAAGTCCTGCAAGTTTCTGCAGCAGGCAGGGAAGGGGCGGTCGGCCTCGCTGGGCACGGGTCGGGTGGCCAGGGCTGCTCACCTGCCTTCTCTCAGGCTCCAGCGATCACTGGAGGAGGTGGTTCTGCCAGAAAAGGCCCACAAACAAAGCTTTAAATAAGAGTCCTCTGCTTGCCCCAGGAAGCTCCCATTTCAACAGGAAGAGAACTCTGAACTCCCAACTTGCACTCTGGAAACTGGAACTGAAAACTTGAACTCTGGGCTGAGTAACTTGATTCTGGCCCCTTGCTGATGTCACCACAGCTGTTGGCCTCTGCCCTCCCCTTTCCTGGCAGTGGAGATCCCGGAAGAGCAGCGTCCCCTAAAGGCAGAGCGCACATCTTCCTCCTACAGACCTCAAAGGCTTGCAGAGCCCAGCTCCCGCCTGGGGTCTCAGCCCCCAAGAGGAAAGAGGCGATTCCCCCCCACCCCCCACATCGGCGTCTGAGACAAACTCAGAGAGCCAGAGACAGCGCACAGAACAGCAGGCAGTCAGTCACCTTCCTCTTAGGTTTGCTCACTCGCACATAAACAAACGTTTTAATTACATCTACGAGCACAGAAAGTGTTGAAAAACCAAGAGTGACAATGGAGGACTGAGGCCGTCCGGGGACGCTGTCCCAAGTAACCCACCCATCGGTGTTGTCCACCCTCAGGCAGTCAGCCTGGCAGGAAAGAGAATTGCAGGGACACTGGCGAGTGACAAAATGCAAACCATTACCAAACACCACACTACCTACCATGTACCAGGCAGTATCTGTATAAACCTTTACAGGTTTGACCATCCAACAGCCCTCTAAGAAAGACACTACTACTGTGAGTCTGCTGTTGACAGAAAGGCTCTGTCATCTGGGCCCTCGGACTCAGTGAGCCGGCCGGAAGAGGGCACAGGCATGGCTAGGGGGTACACTGAGGTGCCATCTTCACCCCAGGCAGCATTGAGGCTTCTGTGCTTGAGAACAAGACACCACAGCGAGCGTCTCCTGCGTGCCACTGGTGCTGCACTTACGGGTGCTTATTACCACAGCAGTGAGATGTGTGTTAATTTTTTTTAAAGATCTAAATATGAAAGCCCCACATCTAGTTCTAATTGAGTCGTTCAGTTGTGGATTTTTCAGCTCTCGGGGCACTTGGGGGGAATCTTGTGAAACTACCTCTTCCCCTCTGCCCTGTTCTCAAGGCACAGGAACTGTCACCTTTTACTTCATAATTGTGAACACTAAAGCACAGGGCTGCGTCGGCACGAGGAGGAAGCAGAGTGGGGCCAGCGCCTCCTCCCTGTCAACCACGCTTCACGGCCTCTCGGATGAGCATCCACAGCGCCCTGCCTTGGACAGCACCTAATTTTATGTTATTAGTTTACTTTGGATGTGGACAGCACCGAGGCACATGCCGTCCATGTCAGCACTGCTGTCTGCATTCATTAACAGGAAACTGAGGCTGAGTGAAGCGGTGCCTGCCGCCACCCCAGAGCCAAGGAGAGCTGGGACCCCAGGCCCAAGCCCAGGTCTCTCTGACCCCTAACTGAGTGCTCTTGACCCCAGGCCCCTGCTGGCTGTCACTGGGGAAGCTGTCCTCAGTGCCACAGGAGCTCCAGGAGCAGGGGAGGCAAAGCCACCTCCAGGTCAGCAGCTCTCATCCTGGCATCCCTAGCACTCAAGGGACTGATGCAAAGGAAGCAGTTGGAGCCAGAGACCTGAGCCCATGCCTCATTCCTGCTCTGTTAGCACACAGCTCCAGAGCTGAAGCAGATCCGGCTTTCCATGGTTCCTTCCTGGCTGAGTGCAGCTTGAAGGATCAGTCACACCTCACAGTGTTTTATGGTGCAGGGGCTACGACTGCGTGATGGCTAAGGGAAAATCCCTGCCTTTCCTTGTCTCCACTCTGGGAGGTGGGAATAGTGGATGGAATTGGTTTTCCTTTCCAGCGAGGCTCCTATCCAAGTTCTCCACTCTGTTCAGTCACTAGGTAGCCTGGACAAGTGTGAACGTTAGGCTGCTTGCTACTCCTGTTCCCTGGGGACGCATGGACACAGGTGATGGGGGACTTGCTAGGGAAGAGTGGGCACTGGGACACCCATCCCACCCTGAAAGGGTCCAAAGAGGGCCCTGAGGCTACTAATTCATCACCCCCAGCTTCCAGGACCACAGGCAGGTGCACACACCTCAAATCAGCCCATGGCTTCATCTGTGTGTTCCAGACCGCCCTGCTCACTCTGACGGCCCGGGAGTCCAGTGAAGTTAGCTTCTGATGAGAGATTTCTGCCAGAGATGCCAGATGGTGAGCTGGTGGGAGGCTGAGGGCAGACAGGTGAAACTTGGCTCCTTTTTATGCACTGTAGGACAGAAAACCAGAAGCAGTGGAGAAATTCTGGGATCTCAGAGACTCAAAGTTTCATAAGACAGTATCACTCAAAAGTATTACATTAGCAAGAGACTGGCTAAGCAACTAGGCAGATGTGGTTAAATTTCTTTTTTTTTTTTTGTATCAGGGATCAAACTTGGGTCCTTGCGCTTGCGCAGCAGGCAGCCAAACCACTGAGCTAAATCCCCGGCCCGATGTGGTTAAATTTGAGTAAAATATTTCAATGCTGCTAAAAAGAAAAGGTAAAAAAAAAATCAATAAAATAAAACTAACCTGGCTTTTGCGACCATGTGGACTCCATGAACTGTTTCTCCTCTGTAATGCCCTCTGCCAGGCCGCCCTGCCTTGGGACCAGCTGATTTTGTTCTGAAACCTCTACAAACTGTGAGCTAAATAAACCTTTCCTCCTTTAAGTTTAGGTGTCAGATATTTTGTCTCAGCAATGAGAGAAAAATAACTAAACAGAAATTTGGTACCAGAGAAATGGGTTCATTGCTGTGACATCACCTGGCCATGTTGCTCAAGAGCCTTTGGAACTGGCTTGTGGGAAGGGGAAGAATTAGCAAAGGTTCAGAGATGCTGGCTGAAAAGAGCAGCACTAGAACGCCTTAGGCTGTTCTGTATGGGAGATTCTGGTTAGAGCTCAGAAGACCAGAAAGCTGGTAAAGACCAGGCTTGGGAGGTTTCTGCTGGGAAGAAGAACTGCATTGGCTGCTGGACTCCAGACGATGTGTGTTATGGCCTGGCAGAAAGTGTGTCTGCATTTTGTTTGTGTCCAGAGACTTTGCCTGAGACTGAGATTAAGGGCAGTGGTCTAATTAATCTTGCAGAAGAAATTTCAAGGCAGTCAAATATTGAGGCAGTAGCATGGTTACTGTTGGGGCCTTTTAGCCAGATCTATGTTAAGAGTCAAGAGCAAAAAGCCCAGCAGAATGATTTAAAATGTTTTGGATTTGGCCAGAAAGGAAGCTCCAGTAAAGCTGAGGACTGTAAAGAGAGCAGAGGAGATCTTGATTGCTGAGATGGAACAGAAGAATAGAGAAGATGGCCTGAGGGCATCATAAGAAGCACCATGACTCCACCCTTTGCAGCCTCAAAATTGCAAAAGTGAAAGACTTTGCTTTGAGAAGAGAACCTCAGGGCACCGTGTTCCAGAATGGCAGCAGCCTAGGGAAGTTTTTCCTTGGGATTTGGTTCATAGGCACTGGGCCCCTACAGCCAAGAGAGAAGGAAGCCTGGCTGCTGCTTCACCTGGCACAGACCTTGGCATCATCCACATGGTGCTGGTTTTAGGCCCATGCAGAATGCAAGAGTTATGGGGTCAGGGCGGCTTCCACACAGATTTCAGAAGAAGGCCTGGGACATCAGGCAGTGAGCCTCTGAGAGGGCAATGTATGAAGCTGAATGTGAAGCTGAAGGTGCAGTGGAGACCCCAGAAGTTTGGAGAAGACAGGAATGTGGATCATCTGAGGAAAACTGTGAGGAGAGAGCAGAACCTGCCCAAGAGAGAAGCCATGGGAGCTACAAACATAAGAAATGCCATGCAGAGCCACTGAAGCCCTTTGAATTTACAACTTGCCACAGATTGCTGGTGATGCTGGAAGTGGAACTGTGGGATTTAATTTTTTCTCTGCTGGATACTGGACTTGCTTTGGTCCCATTCCTTTGTATTCCCATTTGTAACTTTTGGATTGGAAATGTCTACCCTGTGCCATTGAATGTTGGAAGTGTTTAACTTTCTTTTTATTTGTACAGGGCCTTGCAGCTAAGAATTTGCATTAGGGCCAAGATTTAGCTCAGTGGCACTGTGCCTGCCTCGCAAGCACAAGGTCCTGAGTTTGATCCCTGGTACCAAAAAAAAAAAAAAAAAATTCCCAATGAGAAATGTAATTGTGTTGTATACCTACAATGTACCAATAAAAGAATTAAAAAAAAAAAAAAAAAAAAAGAATTTGCATTAAATCTCCTAGGAGACTTGGAACTTGGACTTTTCAGCAATACTGAAGCCTTCAGGACTTTGGCAACTCTTAGAGATGGACTAAATGCCTTTGTGTTAAGGAATGCACATGAGTCTTTGGGGGCCAGGGGCAGAGTGTTATGGTTGTGTCTAGATGTCCCCCAAAGCCCCATGCAGTCTTAGATGAAGCTTTTGCAGAGGCAGCTGAATCTAGAGTGTGTGATGCTGGGATTAAGGGTGTGTGATTATTAAATCAGTCCACTCACTGACTTGGCGCTGTAGTGGCAAAGTGCCAGCTAGAATATACAGCTCTAGTGTCTACAGCTTAACACAGGTTGTCCAGGAGAATGGAAGACACGCCCAGAAGTTTTGAAGGCAAAGTGTACAGTTTTATTTTTAACACCAGCGGGTCAGCCTGGGACTTCTCCACAGAGTCTGACCCTCCTCTGGGGTTGAGCAGGGCAGGTTATACTCTCAGGAGAGGGGTGGGCTTGCAGGAGTTGAGCACTTTGCATTGGTTACACAGAGCACAAGTCATCTGGGCCCAGCAAATTCACTGGTTATCAGACATTACCGACACAAGCTCAGTGCACAAACCCACATCTCATTTAGACTTGGCGGGGAGGTTAGAGAACAAAGAAAATTCCTGAGATGTTTGAGAGGAAGTGTCAGGCTGGGCAGGCCCGGATATGTTGAGGGAATGGGGAAACCTCTGTCAGTAAGTCCGGCTTTAACTGCAGAGAAGCAGGAAAAAGCATGTTCCCCATTTAGCACCACCCTAATCCCAGCAGTCTGGATAAGATGAAAGGGCCAGAAAGCTTCCCTTGTGGCTTTTGCGACCATGTGGACTCCACGGAAAGTTTCTGCTCTGCGACGCCCTCTGCCACGCCACCCTGCCTTGGAGCCAGCTGACTATGGACTGAAACCTCTACAGGCTGTGAGCTAGGGCTGGGGATTTAGCTCAGTGGTTCTGCCACCTGCCTCGCAAGCGCAAGGTCCTGAGTTCGATCCCCAGTACCAAAAAAACACCAACCCAGACTGTGAGCTAAATAAACTTCTCCTCCTTTAAAAAAAATAAAGGGCTGGGGATTTAGCTCAGTGGTTCTGCCGCCTGCCTTGCAAGTGCAAGGACCTGAGTTCGATCCCTGGTATCCGCCCCCCCAAAAAAGGATCAATAAGTGGTACAAGTGAATTTATATATAAAAGAATGAGGCTGGACCCTTACCTCACATCACATTTAATAAAAAATTCAAAAGGACCAAAGAGCTGAAACCATAAAACTCTCAGAAGAAAACATAGGTGTAATAAATACTTCATTACCTTGGTTAGGTGTGACACAAAAAACATAAGCAACACAATAGAAACAGCGGCTGATCAAAATCTTAAACTTTTCTACCGTAAAGGACACTTCCGAAACTGAAAGTGTCACAGAATGGGAGAAAATATTTGCAAATCTTATATCTGATAAGACTAATATTTGAAATATAAAAAGAATACTTACAACTCAGCAATAAAAAACAAATAACTCCATGAATAAATGGGAAAGGATTTGAAAAAGTATTTGTCCAAAGAAGATACACATGGCATCATTAGTCCTCATGGAAGTGCAAATTACAACTAGAATTCGATATATACTTGTGGCTGCTTACTTCTGCCAAGCTCTGCCTCAGGAACCACCTGAGGGAGGCACGAAGATAAAGCTGCATTCAACTGTAGCAGACCCATCAAGATGACAGCAGGAGATACAAAATGGAGAGAAGACCTGGTCTTAGGCACTTTCTCCTCACTGGGGCAGAACACCCAACTTAAAGGAGGAGAGGCTTATTTGGGCTCACCATTTTTAGAGGTTTCAGTCCCTAGTCACCTGGCTCCAGGGTAGAAGGGTCTGGTGGAGAAGAGCTGCTCCTGTCGAGGTGGGCAGGAAGAGGGGGCTTCCAGGCCACACTCCGGAGACCCAGCCCCGCCCCCCAGAGCAGGTCGGCTGGGACCCACTCCTGAGCACAGCGCCTCCATGATCCAGTCACCTTCCATGGAAGAGATTTATGTGAAATATGAAATCTATTCAGAAAAGGGGACAATAATTCCAACTGAAGAGATAACTGACTTCATGGGGAATAGAAGGAGGTTGCGTTTGAACCAAACCTTGCAGTATGGTCTTATTCTGGACATGAGAAGATGTGAGGTCAAGTGGATAGTCCAGGAGCACACAATGACTGGGACCAAAGACCCTGAGTCAGCAGCTGTGCTGTACAACATGACTGAGCCTACGGTGTTTGGAGGGGAATCTTAAAGAAACTGAAAAGGAAGATGCAAACTGGAGTAAGAAAGGCTTTGCATGTCTGGTCAAACTGAAACCTTTTTGTGTATGTGCTGGAGAAAGTTGAAGGGTTCTAAGAAGGGAGTGACAAAGCTGTGCTTGAGGAAGTCTGGGGCTGCAACATGAGCTGCAATGTGAGAAATGTTGAGAGCCTGAGGCACGATAGCATGTGGCCATTGTCACAGGTCAATTAGAGGTAACAAAGGCAGAGGAAGTGCAGTGTGGAAATGTGTGGAAAAGACACAGTAGATACAGAACCCACGGATTTGCAAACTGACTGGATATAGAAACAGAAGTGAGAGTGGTGTTTTGATGGTGCCATTAGCAGAAACTGCATCCCCAGCTCTGTTCAGAATGTATTGAACTTGAGGTCCCAGAGGGAAAGTGAAGTGCAAAAATCTGCCAGGAAGTTGCAAGGTAGGATTTGAACTTGAAGAAAGGAATCTGGGCTAGAAATATCCAACTTAGAGTCACTTAGCATAGAAGCAGTAAGTGAAGCCTCAAAGTTGTCAAATGAGAAAATATAAAGAGGGAAAACAAGGGGGTGATTCTTGAGAACATCCACATTTAAGAATCAGGAGAGAGACACCAAGAAGTCCTTGGTAGAACTTCTGTGACAGAATACCCTGGAGAGGGAGAGGGATTAGTGCCACCTCAGAATTCAGGGACTCTGGTTTGGCAACTAAGTTCAGTGTCACCCTTGGATCTTGAAGATCTGCAGAAATGAGTCAGGCAAAATGCAGATGGTGGAGTAGTAAATAGGAAAGGAGGAAGTGGAGAGATATAGATAAAATTTCCATAGAATAGTGGCTTGAGGAGGAGAAATTT